TCGTCGAAGAAGGAGCGGGGGGGGGGGGGGGGGGAGAGGGGAACCAAACTATGTGAAAACTGACAGATGAAGGCTTATTAATTGCTTGAGCCTAGCGCGAGAGACCCGCGGCGTCATCGGTGCAAGCGGCGTAGCCCGGGAGTTTGTATTTGAGAGGCTCTTCGGGATCCCCGGTGCCTAAGAGACCGGCAGTTCACCTCTCTACGTGCATTCGAAGTCTTTTTCGGGAGGGGGGGGAGAGCTTGTCATGCATTTTGGTGGGTTTAACGCGTCCTTCTCAAATCCAAATGATGGATCGGGAAATGATTCTGACTGATAGTTAATGCCCTAGCGCCCTTAAGCCCAATAAAGTTCAGCCTCTGAGATTTAAGAGAGTGTAAGCGGATTTTGGCTTTCGCAGCTATACACAGCCTGCAGATCCATATTCTGTAGATCCATTTGTTTGTTTAATGTGGATTAAAGATTTGATGCTGTAGCACCTGCGTAGTCGCTTTATTGCTAAATTACTCTGTAGAAACAGGTTGAAAGCACTGAGACAGTAGAACTCTGAGACATTAATAGATCGGGGAAAGAAACCAGCTTGGCTTGGGACCCGGTCTCCCAAATATAATGAACCTGTTGTGTTGGTTGCGTCAAGCCGGCTTGGCCGAATGTGCGGGTCTTCTTGCACCCTCATAAGTGGCCCAGGAATCGTAGACAGGAGCGGGTGAGTTTTGGAACAGGACCTTGGCCACATTTGATTCCCACTCGAGGGAAAGTTCAGAGCCAGAAGAAGGGCAACGAAGTAATAGGTCAAGCACCCGAATAGCCCTAGATTCATATGACTTCCAGAGGACTGGAGCGCCCAGCACACACCACACAGCCGTCGAGAGCTAAAGGCAGGCGTTAACGCACGAGTTAAAAGTAGTGAGGAGCCCTGAACGCGCCTGCGGAGTCTTCCTCCCTGTTTCGAATTCAGGGTGCTCTGAAGCGGCGGGGCGGGGGCGGGGGGCTACATCGCTCTGTCTCAGCCCCCTCCTCAGCCTCACTCTCACTCTCTCTCCCTCACACACTGGAGTTTGGTGCTGTCGTAAAACCCACGTGTCTGGGCCGGAGTCTGCCAGAGCGCTGAACTCAAGCAGAGCCCTGCGCGCTCCTGCCATAGCCAGAAAGAGCGAGCGAGCGATCCGGACACGGGACACCAGACGCCCCCTCCCCCGAGCATTCGGCTCAGGTCCCCCCAAAGCCCCAGGACTCTGGCTCTTCAGGGGAGACAGGAATCCCGGCCCCCGTCCAGATCCGCGTAGATCCAGGTAAAGGCAAGAAGGAAAGGAGGGAGGGAAGCCTTCGTGTTTTCGGGGGGCTTGTGCCGGGGGCGAGTGTCCCGTCTCCCCGGCCTCCGCTGCGTCCGGGGTCTGCTGAAATTGCTGCCTCGCCGCCGGGCTCGCGTCGGAGAAAGTGGCAGGAGCGCTCGCTAGGGGTGCGCTTCCCGCGCTGGCAGGGGGTGGGTGGGTTTATTCGGCGACCTTCGTTCGCGGGAGAGTCGGTTGGTATCGGGAGGAACCCGGAGCGGGGGCTACGGCTGTTGTGGGGGAGGCAAGGGGCGATGGGAGAGAAGGCTCTTTTGCAGCGCTGGAGGGAGGGAGGGAGGGAGGGAGGGAGGGGAGGCGGTGTCAAACTTGTCCGTCCGTCCGTCCGGCGGCCCCCTCTCGGCTTCCTTGCTGCGAAGAAACTTTGGGTCTTGTTCTGCGAGGCGGCGCTCGCTCCGTGCGGTAGCCGGCGCTCATGCTCGCGGAGAGACTCTCCCGCGGGGGCCCTTCTCTCTGCGCGGGACACTCGGGGAAACGTCGCCGGCTCCGCGGCTGCCCGCAGAGTCTCCCGCGTCTCCCCCCTTTCCCTCTATTTTCTCCAGGCGCGCAGAGATGCTGAAGCCAGGCGACCCCGGCGGATCGGCGTTCCTCAAGGTGGACCCTGCCTACCTCCAGCACTGGCAGCAGCTTTTCCCTCACAGCAGTCAGCTCAAAGGCGGCGCCGGGCTGCTGGGCCACCTCCAGGCGTCGGACAGACCCGCCGACCCTCCGGCGGACGGTCTGCGCCAGCTGCCGGCCCCGCTCTCCTCGGCTTCCTCCTCCTCCTCCTCCTCCTCTTCTTCCACCCCGTCTTCCTGCGCCGCCGCTTCCCTGGCCAGCTTGACCTCGCTCCCCGTGGCTCAGATCCCTGTCTTTGGACCGGTCCAGAGCTCCGAGTCCCCCACCGGAGCCCCGCTTTCCTTGCTACAGACCAAGGACCTGGCAGGAGGCGGCGGCGGCGTAGCAAAGTGCCCCGACAGGGTAGCCGCCAGGTTCCGCTGCACGGCCGAAGAGCTGGACTATTACCTGTATGGACAGCAGCGCATGGAAATCATCCCTCTCAACCAACATACCGGGGACCCCAACAATCGTATGTACCACTTATTCAAACTTTCCATTCGCGCGGCAGGGCCTTAATAACGTTTTGTGACGGAGGAAGGAAAGGGGGCGAGAGAGAGAGAGAGATCTGAAGTGTCTGATGATGCTCTGAAACCCCCCACGTCTGTGAATGAGCGCCACGGGGCTAAATCACGGGTAAACAACCTCTCACCCCTACTTTACTCCCGAAACTTGTAGATGGCGCATCCACGAAGCTCAGAATGCTTCACCTGCAGTCTTTGATCACATTCTCTTTGAAGTGTGCGCCATTGATTACTGCGGGACTTACTTCCGATCAGTCTTTAGAGCACTTACTTGGATGTAAGCTCCGCTGAAATCAATGGGACTTGTTGCCGAGACAGTAAGGCGAAGGACTAATATGTCACAAAGACTCTGAAAACCATCTCACTATAATGGGTCTGAAATCCTAACGAAAGGCTTATTTTTCAGGAACTTACTGTAAAGAGAGTTTCAAAAGCGCCCCCCCCCCAACTAAACCGTGAAGGACGTTTCTCCTCCATTGAGGATACACCTACGGACCGACCGAGCAAACAAGGGAAGTCCCTAAGCGAACTTTTCAGGCCCTTTTGGAAATATCGCTTACCTTTCGGCCCTTGTTAACGTCAATCGCCCCACCCCATTGCGGTTTGCCTTTCTAGAGCCAGAGCGGGGCATGGCCGTTTCCTAGGAAGTTTGTTTTCAAAAGTATACGCGTCAGACGCCTGATGGAGTGTCAAGACCAGTATGCTGTGGGGGTTTTAGAATGTTTCTTAGGAAGCGGGGCCACGTTTAACTGCAGGGGTACATGCTTTTAAAAACTCAGTTCGTAACATTTATTTCATTTTCCCCAAAACTTTTGACAGAATCTCCTTATGCACTTCGTTTGCATGTACTGTCTGCACTACTTAAAATTATAAAAAATCTTTTCAGATATCATGGAAAAATCCAACGGAAGCCTTAGAAATTATTATTAGTAATAGTAGTATGAAGAACCCAATGTTCACTACACAGCCTTGAAAACCTGCTCCCTCTTTCTCCCCCTCTCAGTACATTAGGATAGTCATGTCTGTTATTTTTAAGCTAGTCGAAAGTATCGTAAGAAACAGCAACTCCTCAATCTAGTTCAGCCTGAATATTAAAGTGCAGCCTATTTTAAGTGATCCAGAAGGATCCGCCAAAATCAGCGGGATAAAGGCATTTGGGTAGGGATGACTGTCCCATAGACCTGTGAAACAAGGACTTGAATGTTAAGGCGAAATGGCTCTTAAATGGACGTATCTGTGGTCTAGCAATCTAAAGCTGAAATTTGGTTTGATTTAGTTCCGAAAAGAATGTTCCTGGAATCTCTTCCTCCCCATTTTGACGGCATTTAATTGCACTGTGATGGAATAAAACTGAAGTCCTAACTTTCTGGGGAAACAAATGTATTTAGAATCAGTCCTCTTAACTTTTACGGTCCTGCAGAAAGAACGGGGGGGGGGGGGGTTGGTTTGTCTGGCGTTTTCGCGGTGCGAAGGCTTCCTTTCCTTGTTTCTTGGCATTTGCGTCCGTCGGTTTCGTCTACAGGCAAAGCAGTTCCTTTTTGTCTGAGTGGAAAGAACCTGATCCTCATAAATGCCAGGTTCATAAATTAATAGACTCAGAAATGAGTTCCGTGGCCTATCCGCTTTACTGCAAAGGGGTTACGACAAGGAGTACGGACGAAATAAGGAGCAGGTCCTGGGGCTAAAATGAATTTCCACGGAGCCCCTCCCTGCCCAGCATTCAAATCGGGGATGGCAAAGTTAGGCGTCGTCGCTTACACAAAAGTGGCTTGTAAAACGCTCCACGTGGTCTAGCAGGGTAAAAGTTGCAGAAATAACATATTTGCAAAAGAGGTGAAGCTGAAGACCGAATGGGGTTTCAACTCTGTCCGACGGCAGCTCCATTAAGTCGTGGTCCCTGGATTCAAAGCCACTCCCGTGCCCCGTGTCCATCCTCCAGCTCCAGCTCCAAGGTGTTTCTTCCTTTAACGATCCCAAACCAAGCCAACCGTTTTGGGCTGTTCTGTGTGTTCGGACGAGCCGAGTCACTGAACCTATTCGGAGGCCACTTCTTTCTTGGTCCCGAATTCCTCTTGGCCTCTGTCGCACAGGCCGTGTTCTGTGAGTTCGGAAGTGATGCCTTTGAAAAGCTGGCAAGCAGGCCAGTGCAAGACCCTCAAAACCCAAAAGTTAAGTGATGGGCAGGGGGGGGGAGCAGAGGAAAGGGGGGCACAAACCTGTGGTTCGTGGCGCTGCATACTGCATTGCACCCGAAGATCGCAGCTTCCCCCCAAGGTTATGTAGATGGCGATCACCGGGATGGGAGAGAGTTTCAAGGAGACGCTAAAGAGGATTTGTGTGGATCTGAGATCCCTTTCCTAAATCTCGCCCCCACCCCCAGTTCCAGGGTCTTAACTCCACCGCACCCATTGGCTACAATGTACCCACCTAAAAAGCATCCACAAGTGATGCATTGTATTTCAGACTGAAGGGAGTTGTGAAACTCCCTTCAACTTTAACAAAACCCAGCAAGCATCCTGGAGTTCCTCCTGGACAGATAGCGACTTATTGAGTGAGTGAGAGAGTGGGTGGGTGGGGAAGCATCTCTCTCAAAACAAGGTGGTGGTGATTTCAGCTTCATTTCTCTCCACTCCTTCCTAGAACAAAGGTAAGTCTCCTCTGCATCTGGGAGTGGTGGTGGCAGGAATCAGGCTGCCAAATTTTAAAAGTAGTTGTGAAAACTCACTTGTATCAGGCGAAGGCAAGTCATAGGGATTTTTCCCTTCCTACCCTCTCCCAAAATACTTGTATTTGAAAATTAGTTCCAACAATGATTTCTATGGGTTTCGTTTTCCGTATGAGGACCAGCTCCACCAAGTCCAAATACTTTGGCATAATTGTAATGTAAAAATAGTTCAGCTCTGATGCCCTGCGGTCAGAATGTGTGTCATGATTTTAAATTACAAGTAACTTTGTTGCACAAAGCATGGCCCAGTCATCATTCACATTCCTTCACCTGACAGCTAAAAATAATGAGGAGGATGGTGATGATAATGTCATATTGCTGTGTAAAAATGAAACAAAGAAACATGACTTTAGTCTTTACAATATGTCTTTGCTTTAAATTATTCTGCTGGGAGTCATTGGGCATGATGTCCAGCATGAGAATAGTTGTGAACAATCCCATATGTATTTTGCAGTTTTATAATTGTACAGCATGTCTTTTGAAGATGAAAGTAATATCATACTACTGCATTGTATGCTTTATTGTATAATACCCACACTAGATTGGAAATAAATTCTATTCAGCACGAGTCTTACTTCTGAGTAAGCATGCATAGGATTGATCCGCACGTCTTCATTTAACACTCCCAGTCACTGATATAGATTATTTTGAGGTTAATATTCAATAGTTACTTTCTAGGAGTTGATTTTCAAAGAGAAATTGAAATTCTTCTCATTTTGTTTTTGAAACTATCAAAGTGATTTATGCTATTGTTACAAGAGGAGGGCTTGCAGCTAGGACGTCACCGCAATCAAACTCATTAGGACTGGAAGTCAAATATGATTTTGCTGAAATAAGTGGTAGTTTTGCATTGATGCACACCTACCACCCAGAAGAAGGAAACCATTTTCAGGTTTGAGGCTTAAATAGTTGTGGCTTTGACCAGACTCTAAATTCCATTTCAAAAACTGCTCATTTAGATTTCATTCCTGGATGTAAATAAATAAACATCACAAGGATGGCACAGATAGCGCAAAAGAGGCTTGGGTAAAATTCTCCTGGTTATAGGGAAGTATTTATGGAAGTCTATTAACAACCACACCGTGTTAGTCTGAAAGAAACTACTGAAGACTAAATCTCTGCTGTAATTTATTTGCCCTCAAGGCAATTAAATGTATACTTAAAGTCCTTTAATTATTCCAGGAGGGTGTCCCCCCACTCATGTTTAAGGGCCAGATAGTGATTTATAGAACTGGGAATTCTTAGTTCGTGTGATCCCGTTTGCCTGTTCTTGAAGTCCAGGCAGCCTTCTAAAGTGGAAGTGAAAGAATCCTGCATTCCCAGGGAGATTTCTGTGCCATTGTCTTGAAGCATCATTACTGCTCTAAAACAGTGTAAAACTACAGCGGCATATAAGAGAGCAGGTTGCACGGCTGTCCTGTCTCGTTGACTTGGCAAGAATGTTTTTGTCTCTGACGTTCTGCCAAAGTGTGAGGCCTTTTAGTTTTAAATTTGTATTTTCCCAAATTGCTACTAACACCTATGATTTAGCTATTTTCCACCCTTAGTTCCCCCAGCAGCGTCACCCTTAAAGAGAGCAGCTCGCGGCCCATATATTAGATTGGGGTTAGAAAAGGTGGTGACTGTTTATTTAAGGTGATAAAATGGTCCATCAGCAGTAATCTCCATCGATATGTGCCACAAGGAGATGAAGGATGAGGGGACACGGCACAATTAATTGCCCTATAGTTTTGTGGGAGAGAGTGGAGGCAATGCGGCCCTCGCTTCGATCTCCTCTCCCAAAGCCCATTCATCATCTCCACATTGTATATGGGGCTCTCCCAGGGGCAGGGGGTGGCAAGGTTTATCTACACACAATATTCTCCTAACGTTCTGATACCTGACAACCAGCTTTAATTTAATTTATTCATACACGCGCTGGAAAGAGACAAATGTATAATAATAATTATTATAATATAATATGAGAAGTACACTGTCTTTGGTCCTCTTAGGGAGGAATCCTACACATGCTTACTCATAAGGAAGTCACAAAATGCTGTGGGGTTTACTACCCCCACTGAAAACATTTTTAGGATGGCATCCTTATTCTGGTCAAGGAGCAGGATTCTATCGTTCTAAATGTTTGGGCTGGATGTCTGCTTTCATTTGTTGGGAAAGGCAGTCATTGGAGTGGTTTGCGCGTGACTAACAAAAAAAAAAAGCGGGGTCTTTTCCTAGCGCTCT